GATCTCAGCTTACTGCAACCTCTGCCTCCCAAGTTCAAGCGATTCTCCTGCCTCAACCTGTCGAGTAGCTGGGACTATAGGTGCACACCACCATGCCCCACTAACTTTTACATTTTCAGTAAAGATGGGGTTTTTCCATGTTGGCCAGACCGGTCTCAAATTCCTAGCCTCAAGTGATCCACCCGCCTCTGCCTCCCAAAGTGCTGGGATTACAGATGTGAGCCACCACACCCCTTTTAAATCTTGATTTAGTACCAACGAAATGAAAGGGGAGAAAATAGGAAGAGAAAACCCTTCTTTAAAAAAATGTAAACATAATTTATAACTGCACATGTTTTTTGTTTGACTTTCTTATAGACAGAAGGGCTTCAAAATTAATAAGGCCCCTGAACTGTACACTTTCAAATGGTAAATTTCATGTTAGGGATATTTTATCACATAAAAAAATCATTGTAAGAACTTAATTAGAAACACATCCTCCAAAGCAAAATGAAATTGTTTAAAACCTCTGAAAATCTGTTTTTTGCAGCATAATTTTATACCTTTCATGTTTTGAATAAAAATGAGTAATGCAAATATTATAGCTACAATGTCTTTTTTGAAGTTTTAGTAAAATGCAAAATACTAGAACTCACCTTTGTAGTTTCATCCCATGGACAGCTACTAGCATGACCATAGCAGATACACATGCCTCCAACAGAAATGTCCTTTATTGAATAATAATACTAAGGAAAAAGAAAGTCATGAACAAAAATTAAAACCTAGATTTCAGTGAAATGAAAATGTTGGCACACCAACAAATATCTCATGCGGTTTAAGAGTTTTTACTGGCAATCTAAAATATAATTACATGTACATTTAAAAATTATATTTCATGCACAAAGAATCCTGTGCTCAATTAAAATAAATTAGGCTCAAATTAGATCATCAGAACCCAAAGAAGTCTAAAAGAATTCCCCAACTTGGCTGCATCTTAAACCAAGTCAGTATTCTTTCAAAACTCATTACTGAAAATCCTAAAAACATTGGTAAATTGAATACAGCGCTCTCTAGAAAAGATCACGAACAACTAAGAGTTACCTTAGAATGCAAAGTTAGTCTACCACACAAAAATCAAGAAATGTCAATCACATTAACAGAACAAAGTGCTTGCCTCTGAAGAAATGCACTCACCACTTCTCTATGTTTTTACATGTTAGTGTTAATAGACTTCCTTTTACATTTCCTTTTCCATTATTCATTGCTAGTGACTAAAAATGTGATTCACTTTTGTTTATTGATTTTGTATACTGCAACATTGCTAAATTCACTTTTTATTTCTGGTAGTTGCTTTGTAGATTTTCTACATACATAACCATGTCATCTACAAATAATAACAGTTTAGTCTTACTATGCGTGCCTTTTTTTTTTTTTTTTTTTTTTATGGCTAAGGCGTCTCAGTGGTCTATCATCCAGACTGGAGTGCAGTGGCGTGATCTCGGCTCTACAACCTCCACCTCCCAGGTTCAAGCTATTCTCCTGCCTCAGCCTCCTGAGTAGCTGGGATTACAGGCATGCGCCACCACACCCGGCTAATTTTTGCATTTTTAGTAGAGACCGGGTTTCACCATGTTAGCCAGGATGGTCCTGATCTCCCGACCTCGTGATCCACCCGCCTAGGCCTCCCAAAGTGCTGGAATTACAGGCATGAGTCACTGTGCCTGGCCTTCTTTTTTCATTATTGAACATTATTGAGCATTATTGAACAAGACCTTTTCAAATAATAAAACTCTGCCAAGGCGAATTAAAGAAGATTTAGATAAGTGAAAAGTTATAGCAGGTCCACAGACTGGATGACTCAACATTGTTAAAATGTCTTCTAAAATTCTTCCCAAATTGGTCTAAAGAATCAGTGGAATCCCAACGAATATCTTAGCAGGCTTTATTTTTTTTTTTACAGAAATTGACAAACTGATTCTAAAATTTATAAGGAAATACAAGAAACCTGACCTCTCAAGACCTACTATAAAGCTACAGTAACCAAGAAAGCTTGTTATTGGCACAAGAATAGACCAAAAGAGCTATAGAACAGTAGAGAGTCCAGAAATAAACCCGCAATAATAAGGTTGAATAGTTTTCAACAAGGACCCCAAAACAAGCAAAATATTCTCAACAAACGGTGCTAGAACAATTGTATATACATATAGGAAAAAAACAAAAAACAAAAAAACTCCGACTCCTTCCTCACATCAAATACAAAAATTAATATGAAATGAATTATAGATGTAAAAGCTAAAACTATAAAGCTACTAAAAGAAAGCGTACCATGATATCTTGGTAAATTTGGGATAAGCTAATATTTTTTGAGGTCATAGAAAGCATTAATCATAAAAGAAAAAATGGTCAGTTGGGATTCATCACAAAACGTCTGCTCATCAAAAGTCACAGGAAACTGAATAAGCAAACACCAAGTAGAACAGATACGTTTGCAATATATACATATCTGATGAAGGATTCATACACAAAATATATAAAATTATGTTATAAGTCAGTAACAAGGAGGCTTATTTTTTGTCCAATTTAAAAATGAACAAAAAAATCTGATTGTATACTAGTAAGCACATTGTCAACATTAGTCATCAGAGAAACACAAATTAACATCAAAAAAGCCAAAAAAAGCAAAAAAGAACAGCCGGCATAAAAATGACTGATAGCACTAAATATCTAAGAGTGTGTAGTGCAGCCAGAACTCTCACTCATTGCTGGTCAGACTACAAAACGGATACAATTACTTTTATTTTTATTTTTTAAATAGAGCTGAGGTCTCCCTCTATTGCCCAGGCTGGTCCCAAACTCCCAGGCTCCAGTGACCCTCCCATTTCAGCCTCCCAAAGTGTTGGGATTACACACATGAGCCACAACACCCAGCTGGATACAAATACTTTTTATATAAGTTTAGCATTTTCTTAAAAAGGTAAACATCCACCTATCCTATAACTTAGTAATCCCACTCCTGGGTTATTGAAAGCATATGAAGATTTTTGTGACACCAGTCTTATACACTTAACTATATACTTAAAATCTGTATGCTTTCCTGAATGTAAATTATTTCTCAAACTTTAAAATTTGCTATGAAAGAAAATCCTCAGTTGCCGAAGATCAGATGTGGAACCAGACTACAATGTGATGAATAAAGACCATGACATTCACCACATTATGGCACTACAGGGACAGGGTGGGTGAGGGACCTGAGGACACGATTTTGGCCCATCACCTAAAGGTAGCATCTGTAACAACATAGCAATCTTACATGAAATAAGGATATAGCCACTGGCAAGAAAAATGGCCAACACGTGGGGGAAAGAACAACCGAAAAGGAAAGAAGAAAAATAATAGTTCCCTTAAATAAAATTAATCTTTCATAGTGGCAGGACTGCCGTCCCATACTCACGCGTCTGGTAACAATAGGATCCAGGTCTTTAGGTTCCCGGTGGCTAAGGGTCATGAGATCTGCATTGAGCGTTCTAATGCGTTGTAAGCGAAGGCGAATATATCGTGCAGAAGTGAATTCCAACAACTTGGGTGAAAGATCGTCAGCACTTGGTCTGCCATTGATGAGTGATGTATGAATCTGAAGATGAAGGCATCAAAATAGACAAATGTCAATTTTTTTTTTTTTTTTTTTTTTTTGAGATGGAGTCTCGCTGTATGGTCCAGGCTGGAGTGCAGTGGCGCGATCTTGGCTCACTGTAACCTCCACTTCCCAGGTTCAAGCAATTCTCCTGCCTCAGCCTCCTGAGTAGCTGGGACTATAGGGGTGCACCACGACGTACAGCTAATTTTTGTATTCTTAGTAGAGACAGTATTTCACGATGTTCACCAGGTTGGTCTTGAGCTCCTGACCTCAGGTGATCCACCTGCCTCAGCCTCCCAAAATGCTGGGATTACAGGGGTGAGCCACTGCACCTGGCCACAAATGTCAATTTTAAGCATGCAAAAACACAGCCCAGATTGTCTAATGTCAGGACAGAATCTTTAAGAGATACTATCTAAAATCAAAGCAAAACAACTAGCTTCTTGTAAAAGTATGTCTAACGTTTGTTAATTACTTGTGAATTACCATGATCTCAATGTCTTCAGTTTATTGAAGTTATCTATTTCAGTGTCTCAGATATACTATATACTTAAAATCTGTATGCTTTCCTGAATGTAAATTATATCTCAAACTTTAAAATTTGATATAAAAGAAAACCCTCACTTGCCGAAGATCTGATGTGGAACCAGACTACAATGTGAAGAACAAAGATTACGGCATTCATCACATTATGGCATTATTGCTGAAAATCTTTTAAGAAGACTGTTTCTCTCCATGTGGTTAGAATATTTCAGCATCTGTCCCAGGGCTACACCTTCTCTGAAGCAAATTTTAAATGTTATGAATAGGCTTCGAGAAGAACAAAGAAAAAGTGCCTCAAAGCCTGAATGATACAGGCTGCCTTAATTAATCTCTGCCCTTGAAACAACACACAGCTCACTGCAGAGTTCCCGCCGTGAAGAGCACTGGAGAGTTTTTGTAGTTTGATCTCTTCGAGCCAGGTGCTACTAAAGAATGGGCTGTTTCTCATTATATCCTGACTTTAAGGAAGTGTATACAATCTGGGCACGCTGGGGACTAAGCTGCAAGACTTCAAGAGTCTCCAGTGCTCACCACCTACCGAGGAGAACATTGAGAAAACTGAGAGCTACAACTCTGGGGGACATTTTAGCTCTCTAATATTTCAACAAACATTCTTGCCAGGGTGCTGTGGGGAAGATGCTCTGAAGGAGGATCCAAGGGCGTCATTAAATCAGAGCAGAGTGAAGACCGAGAGCCTCCTTGAAGAGAGGAAGTCAACAAGGTAAACTATATTGTTTGTGAAATTACTCATAACAGACTTGACTCAAGGCCACTTCAAATAGAGCTACATAGCTATGTTAAAGAGTTTTGTACTGACAGAGATCAATTTTGCGTCTTTAATGTTGGCCATGACAACGGCTGTCTTAACATCTGAGACAGGGAGACTCTGATGAGGAAACAGATCTTGCCGCAGCGGGCACCATACCCACCTCTCCATGCTCAAGTGGTACCAATCTGGAATAATAGGAGGTGCAGATCACTTCATCATCAGCCCTGTAGGTGGGCGGCCCTCGTCTTGGAGTTATATTGTAACGAGACAAACACTCTGAGTCGCTGACTGCATAATACTGCCAGGGGCTGAACGTGGTGCCGTCTAGAGAACGCTCCAAAATCCAGTTTCCGGGCCGAGGGGCATTGGCAGCTTTAATGATGACATATGCAACTTGAAAGACCTGAAAGAAAGACACTGAAAAGTCTCAATCCAGAATCGATATAAGCCAGGCACAGAATGAGAGCTACTGCATGATCTCACTTAAAGGTAGAGTCTAAGATAGTTGAACTTAGAATCAGACAGTAGAGTGGTGGCTGCCAGGAGCTGTGGGAGAGGGGAATAGGGAGATGGTGGTCAGTGCATACAAAGTTTCAGTGATGCAAGATGAATAAGTTCTGGAGATATAATGGATGAAAACAATACTATACGGTATACTAGAAATTTATGTATTAAAAGGGTAGATCTTATGTATGCTCATCATATACACAAAAGGGTAACTATGTGCAGTGATAAATATATTAGTTATCTGGATTGTGATGGATGATTCTTTCATAGTGTATACGTATGTCAAATCAAGTTGTATACCTTAAATATATACAATAATTTAAAAAAAAATAGAATCAGTAGCAGCTGTTTAAAAACAAAAGTGCATCTTGAGAGAACTGGTATACATTGGTTGCCAAAATCGAAGCTCTGGAGTGTAACTGCTCATACATGTTAATCAGAAACGTGTCTTGTGAATAATCTCTTAGTAGCATTTGTTTTCAGAATAAACTCAAAAAGTACAAATAAATTTGTATTATTATTATTAACAATATTGGTATGAACATAAGAGCTTGTTCTTGTTTCCAGTGTATGTTATTTGAATCCTGAAAGATACTTGTGTTATGTTACATTAACAGTAGTGTTAAAAGTATTTTTATAGTGATTTGGAGATAACACAACTAAATATGAGAAAAAAGTCAGCCCACTACACATCTCCAGAATGGCTAAAATCCAAAACACTGACAACACCAAACGCTGGGGAGGATGTGGAGCAACAGGAATTCTCATTCATTTCCGGTGGGAATGTAAAATGGTACATCCTCTTTGGAAGATAGTTTGGCAGTTTCTTACAAAATTAAACATGCTCGCCATACTCAGTAGTAAACATGCTCACCATACTCAGCAGTCATGCTCTTGGGTATTTACCCAAATGAACTGAAAACTTAGGTCCTCACAAAAACCTGCACCACCATTGCCAAAACTTGGAAGCAACCAAGATGTCCTCTAACAGGTAAATAGAAACACATGCTATGGTGCATCCAGACCATGGAATATTAAGATAAAAAGAATGAATTCTCAAGCCACAAAAAGACATGAAGAAACCTTGAATGCCTATTACTGGCCGGGTGCAGTGGCTCATGCCTATAATCCCAGCACTTTGGGAGACCAAGGCTGGTGGATCTCCTGAGCTCAGGAGTTTGAGACCACCCAGAGCAATGTGGTAAAACCCCATCTCTACTAAAATGCAAAAAAAATTAGCTGGGTGGGGTGGCGCATGCCTGTAGTCCCTGCTACTCAGAAGGCTGAATCATGAGAATCACTTGAACCCCAGAGGCAGAGGTTATTGGGAGCCGAGATTGCGCCACTGTGCCCCAGCTTGGGCTACAGAGTGAGACTCTGTCTCAAAAAAAAAAAAAAAAAA